TGTCCGATCGCGTAGAAAGTGGGCTGTTTGTAGGCCTCCCCCTTCTCGATGTCCACCAGTATAGCCGTCCCAAACTGATTGGGTCCACAACGGGGACAGCCGTTCAAACCTAACGCCATATTCCACTCCACCCAACCGGTTGTCCAGTGATTCAAATCCTATAAAAAGAAATTAATTACAATTTTATTGATTTGAAAAACTTTTCAAATAAAAAGTCAACTCTAATGATATCGTGCGCGTAATGCTCCCCGAAATCCCAGCGCCCATTGCCCAGCCCTTCCAGATGACAGGCCTCAGTCATGAGCATGAAATGGTTGGGGTGTTTGGTGTGCACCTCATCCAACACGGTGTCCGGGTATTCACTAGTCCTTGAGCTCTCGTACCAATGATAAGCAATGCCGGACACGTACTGCTCGGCCTCCCTGTCCCCCAATATGGTGTCCGCGAACTGTTGCAGAGTGTTGTGGTCACTGGTGTTGTGCCACACGTTGTCGTCAAATATCATGAGTTTTAGTTTGTCGGCAGTATAGCCAGACTTTCGCAGCAGTGGTCCCAAGTTTTGGCGGACAAACACTCTTTGCATTTCGGGATCAAAGAACAGGTCCTGTTGTATGAAACGCCGGCCCCACGTCGGCTCGTTTTGAGTGGTCAGCCCCCAGATCGGGATATTGTGAGCCTTATATGAGTCCAAAAACCTTATATAAAACCATACTTTTAGTATCAAAACATAATTATTGTTTACATTTTCCTATGGTTTACATACTTAACCAAATAATGGGCCCAAATATCGTAGTACTCGCCCCCCGTCTCCCCTTTCAATTGGTTGGGTTTGGCCTCTTTGGGACCCGTTTTTATCCAATCGGGTGCAGCCCATGAACTGCCAAATAGTTTCAATGGTTTGGTGCTTAAGGTTTGAGCGGTTTTTATGTGAGGAATCTATTAATTTGTAGATTTTATTGTATAGTATTAATTAAAAATAATGTTTGATCATGTTTAAATAATTGTGTATATTAATGCCTTACCTTGAGCTCCATGTCCTCCTTAGTCAAAGCAAATTTGTTGAGCTGTGTATCGTTGACCACATCGTCGTACGTGTAATAGTGGGCCGAGTAGTCAGTGGAGGCCACCGGTATTCATATTGAAATAGTCCTCATTGGCTGACATTGTGGGCAGTAGTGTGCAGTAGGTTGTGTCCAATTTGTAGGTGAGTCGACATATTTTGTCCTGGATGAGCTGATCCGATGGCACCTTCTTCATGGCAAACACAAACATAAAGGCAAAGAAATAGGGCTCGACTGTCAGCAAACAGAGGAACTCATAAAATCTTCTCAGTTTATACGATACGCGAGTGTTTGATATGACATTCATTTTTAAAAAGTGCTAGCTAAATAAAATTGATAAATATGTTATATATTTAGTTAAAAATTATTTTTAAATATCTCTCATTCACATGTTCATGATCGTATGAAAAATAATAATAAACTATTTTGACAATAGTTTTGCTAGTTAATAACTAGTTGTAACAAAGTTAATTGTACAGGTGCACTCAAATATATACTCAATGCACTCAATATAATAATCCGTTTAGTTTTTTATTGATGTCTAATATAATTTGAAACACAGGAAGAAATACTTTTAATGAATAAATAGATAAAAACTTAGCGATTACTATAGAGTTGTAAATAATGCTTAATATTTAATTATAAATAATAATAATCACATAATTATTGTGTAGTGAGTGTCGCAACCAATTTCACAGTAAAAATAAAATTTTCAAATTCTTATCATTAAATAAATGAATAAAGTGTTCAACAAATGATTAATTGACAAATCAGATGAACAAAACTAATTTGATTTTTAAATCTTAAAATTACTACATTATAAAAATCATTATATTTTTAGTGTGTATTTAGGCTGAATTGACATCAATGTGAACCTCAATAGAAATGTGTTATTTGTTTTGGATGTGACTGAAGATTAGATAATAATTACTAGAATTGTATTTACAATTGAGATTATTATCATATTTAATTATATTTGTGTTTAGTCTGAAGTCATTTAATTTCTAAAGATTTACAATGCTATATTTTATTTAGCTATCCCTGTTTAAATAAACTACTATTTTTGTAAAGGTGGATAATTCAATGTAATTAAATCGTGTAAGTACATTTTAATGGAAAATTGTCGTTCCCTTGGAACTGATGTCATTGTAAACCTGTATCCCATATAAATAATTATAATACAAAGCATTTTAATTAAAATGAACCGGAATGCACTTAATTTTAGTGCATAATACTGCATTATGATTAACACCCTTTTGATGTGTTTATTATGAATTGAAAGTTGATAAATAAATGTTTATTTAAAAGTTTTATTAAAGTTATTTGTTAAATTTATAATTTTAATGAGAGATTGTCATTTAGGATTAACAAAGGTTTTTTTTATAGTAAAAGTAGTAAGAATAATATTAGTTACTAAAGTAATATGAAATTATTTTTTCTATACTGTAGTGAAAAATAAATAAATAATATTTTTGAAAAATAAGAAATTCAATTCTGGTTATAATTACAGTTTTTTATTGTATTTTAAATGCTTTCCAATATTTTGTATAACAATTTCTTAAAACAATGAATTAATAAATATAATATTTAATTTATGAATCATGAATAATTATCAAAACACAATTTCTTAAAATGATCATTTAAAACTAGCATTACAAAATTTTATATTATTAAAAACTTTTATACAGTATTTACATTAAGTTATGAAATAAATAATAAAATCAACATTTGGTATCAAAACTATACTAACTTATAAATTAAATAAACCTTTTATAAAAGATTTAATACATTAACAAATAATTATGAAAAATAATTTAAAACTTTTAAATATTAGTCACATTATTCTCAACATCTTTAGCACCAGTTTGTGATGACTTGCCTTCACTGTCAACATCTTTGGCATCAAGTATTGAATTGTGACTAAAATCTGGTAAAACAGTGTAATAATGAATCCAAACGGCGACCCCGAATGGTATGACAAGTATGACAGCCGTTATCAGCAGCGATAGGCCGGGCATTGTATCGATGGTGGCGTTGAATATGGGGCTCATTATGCCGGCCGCTATTAACGGTGTGATTGCCTCCAAAGCGCCCATAAAACTGAATATTTTGCCCAATTCTTGGGGTTTGACTATTTTGGAGAAATGCGAGCGCATACCGATGGAGCCCACAGAACCCAAACACCCGGGTAATAATGACGTGAAAAAGCCTACCGGTGTCAGTACGACACCGCGCACTACGTTTTGCATAAAATATGAGATCAACCCAATCATCACCAGTATTGTGTCTTTGAGTTTAAGCACCTAATAATATATTGTATAAAAACAATGAATTAATAAATTGGGATTATATAGTTATAATCAAATAATAGATTATTAATTGTTAAGTTAGGGATGAGAATGCAAGTTAGTATAGTTAAGTATAGTAAATTAAAATAGTCATATGTTTAGTAGCGCTAAGTATTGTAATATTTTTGAATATAATTACAGAATAATAAGTTTTTCATTTAAATACTGAATACTTTTCCTCTCTTACTACTCTACAAATTAATGCAAGTCTACAACTCTAACATTGCTAATTTACATTGCTAATTTAAAGATATAATACCTTAAGAAGTATAGGTGCGCAGGTAATGGTGGCCATAGCCAGCACAACACTCCCGATGGCCGACGCGTTACTATACGTCTCTGAGTCCCAGTTATACATCTTTTGCGAGAATTGAAACATGAATATAACGGGTCCCACGTGTGACAGCATGTAAATGCCCAGTGAGAGGAACAGTAGCCATATCTGTAGTCTCAGCTGATTATCCCGTTTCTTACTACACGTCCTCCACATCTCTTTGGCGTTATTGGTGTTGAGCAACAGTTTCATGGGATGTATGTGTTTGTTGTCTGAAAACCTTTTCAATCTCTTTTGTATCCTATTCTCGCACTCATTATCCAGATTATCTGAATCCGATCCCACGCCGAACCTCTGCTCCCATTCCCTTATATCCCTTTCCTCGTCGATCATAAATATGCTCCAAATGAGGGCCAATAGGAAAGCTATGCCTCCAATGGCGAACACACCGGACGAGTTGTGCAACTGTCCGCCATTTAACGGCGATTGAGTATTGAGTACCACTCCACCTATGTATGTGCCAAAGGGTTGGGCTATTAATCGAAATAAATGATTAGCAAAATGTTTAAATAATATTTTTAGAGATAATACCTAAAGAGTTGATGATTTCGACGCATGCCATCCGAGGCGCCCGCATATGCGGCGGTGTTGTCGACGCCACGTACGACCAGTTGGCTGACAACATGGCTAACAGTCCCCCGGCAAACACACTCGGCACCATTGATAGTAACAGTACGTAATGTGCTGGTTGTGTATAAAGTGATTTTTATTATTAATTATTTAATAAAATGTCAATTAATTTCATACATAATTCAAAGAAATAGTCGTTTAAGACGAGTATCACAGCCTCCACCACTCCGGCCAATGCACCGGCAATTAGCAGCACTTTCTTAGCCTTAATATAGGTGTCGGTCCACTGGCCGATGAACAGGGCGGCCACCACTGATGGCAGGGTTAAGATTAAAATACCGCTCAACGAGAAAGTGGTCGTTTCGGTCAATATCTTGGACTTGATGCCCAGGTAGTCCTCATCATCGGTCATCGTAGACAAGTGGGAACAGTATGTAGCGTTGATATTGTAGGTGTTCCGACATAACTTATCCTGAACCAACTGTTCCAACGGTACCTTTTTGAGCATCAGCACAAACATTGCCACAAATAGATACGGTTCCACAGTTAGCAGGGATAGGAACCCATAAAATCTTTTTACTTTATATAATATTGTGGTTGACATCTTGACAACTTTTTAATATAATATTTTTATTATTAAGTTTTTTTTGTTATAACGAACTGTTTTGTTAATAATATTGTTTTATTTAGCAAATAATTTGATGCAAAATATAAAGTGTATATCATTTCCAAATACTTATATACCATTTGATTAAGTTGTAATTACATTGGACTGTCTTATTATCACACATTATGACACAGTATTTCTAAACACGATAGTAAATACACTACTATAGTTTGTGTACAGATAAGACCCTAATACTATTAATTATATGTAATTAATAGAATTTACAATTAATACAGATTATAAACTAGCTATTGCATAATTTTTTTGCAATTTAATTTGAGCTAATTAATAATATTATACTGTACAACATTATAAACAATAAAAATATGAGTCACTATTGCTCTAGCACAAAGATGTACAAATATTAAATAAAAATAAATTTATTTAAAATAATTAGTGCTATCGGGAACGGTATGTCGTTTCACCACAATGTTTTATTGTATTTATTATTATACTATATATGATATTCTTTATTTTGTCTAGTTTTATGACTGAAATGATCAGGAATGTCAGTTAATATTTAATTCAAAACAATAATAATTTTAATTTTAAAATAGTGTCAATGATTATTTATAATGGTTATTAGATTATAAATAATTTTTAATTATTAATATTAACATAGTTAATTTAATTATAAAAATTCTTTAATACACTCCCTGCTATTAGCAAACCTTGCTCATATCCTAGTAAGTAACTTTATTTGTTGTACTCGGAGTACATTGAGATAAAAGTGATTTGAATTATATTACTTTTCAAATTGATGATAGAAAAATACCAGCGTTATAAATCATAATCCAATAAACATGGACTGAAGTGTACCAGTATCTCATAAATAATCTCATTTATTCAGATATTTCATAATATTGTAGTTTTCTAGCAATTAGAAATATGAAACTTCACAATATTTTTATTTTGCATTCACATTATCTTATCGTAAAATGCTTAAAACTCTGTATACTACTGAATATAGAAAATTACAAAGTGTAAACATTTTATGGTATATTTAAATTAGTCCACTTAATATAAATACAGTATAATTATATTAATTATAATTTACATCATTATTATACAGTGATAGATTTATCTGTTTTATAAATTACCTAATTGTTAGTAAATATGTGAATTTATTAATAATGATACTTTTTGAGAATATTTTATCATTTAAAATTAATTAGTGTTATTGATAAATTCTGTGGTATGTAAGCATACTTTCATATAAACTTATGAAAAATGGCACCTGAATCAATTTTTATATAAAACACTATCCCTGATATCCGTAATGGTATCTTTAGTGCAAGAGTACATTAAATATTGAAGTTATCAATGACACGAAAACAGTATAAAAATAAAAACCAAACGTTTGTAAACTTAATTTTTAAATTAAAACA